CGCGGCGGCGCTCCCGCCCGAGGGTTCGGATCCCACATACAGACCAGTTCCCGCTCACTGGCTGAGCGAGGCGCGGGAGCGACGCCGAGGGTTGCGATCCCGTTGCCGGTCCCTGGTCCGGTACGGGGGCGACACTGAGGGTAGCGATCCGTTGCCGGACACGGAAAAAGACAAAAAAAAATAAAATAAAATAAGTAAAGGTGGGCTGGCAGGCCAGTTAGCTCAGTTAGAGTCTGGTATTACAACACCAAGGTCAAGGTTTTGGGTCCTGGTACATACCAGCCAGCTGCCAATAAATAATTAAAGAAATGTCTCAAACCCTTCGAAATACTGTAGTAGCTAATACATAGAGGCATGCCTTAGTTGGTATAGGAATGCCGTTTAGAAAATAAAAAGAATTGCAGTGTTTCTGGCCAAGATGGCAGAACAGACGGTCCCTAGCATCACTCTCTCCCACAAATCAACTGATTTAAACTACAAAAACATAACATCAAGTGCAAACAGAACAGGGAGACGTCCAGCGGAGGAGGCAGAAGCTCCATGGAGACCACATGCCCTGCGGGGCCGCCGTCGCACAATCCGGCAGATAGGTTTCAAAGCCACCACCCGGCTCCATTCCCAGCCCAGCCTAGTGTGCTCGGAGAAGGGATACATCCAACAGGGGAGGTGGGAACTCCACGGGGACCACACCACTGCCATGAGATCCAGCAGCCCGGCCCAATGCGTACGGAGCACAGAGACGTCCAGCAGGGGAGATAGAAGCTCCATAGAGTCCACACACACTGTAGGGGGGCCACCGCCGCATGATCCAGCACCAGGTAGGCTTCGCTGCTGCCACCCAGCTCCATCCCAGGCCTGGCCTACTGTGAACAGAGCAGGGAGAAGTCCAGCATGGGAGGTGGAAGCTCAGCAGAGAACACACGCCCTGCGGTACTGCCCCATGATCCAGCAGCCCGGTGGAGTCCAAGCTGACCAGAGAGGTAGCTCCCTGGAGAGGCCCAAGACCCGAGGCAACCACACACGCAAGGCACTAGTGGCCAACTGAGCAGTCACTGAGGTAGCCAGACCAAATTGGCTACCACAGCAACATCTTAGTCAGTCAATAGTGTCAAACCTGTGGACTGTGAAACCCCCTACCACAATGAATAAACATCAAAGAAAAGATACCAGAAATACAAAAAATCAAGAAAGTACACCACCAAAGGATAATAACTCTCAAGCTCTAGATCCTATAGAACAAGAAGCCCTTGAAATGACTGACAGGGAATTTTGAGTGATAATTCTAAGGAAACTGAATGAGATACAAGAAAACTCAGCTAGGGCCAGCCCGGTGGCGCACTGGAGCAGCGCGCCGCTTTGGGAAGTGTGGCGGCGCTCCCGC